AACATTGATATTAATGAAGCTCCATAGATGGGCATAGACCTGAATGAAGCACCAGATCAAGAGGAAATGATTGTGGATCCTCTCTTCCCCCCAATACATGAAGAGGTCCTAGAACCCATTTTGGTCTAGGTCAATGAAGCTGAAGAGGATGATGAAATGGAAGAGGAAGTGGTGGTAGTTAACAATGACAATCAGGAGCAGATACAAGAGGTCCAAGCTCAAGTTGATATCCTAGCTCTGATTGGGCCTGTCAATGTTTTCCCTCTCAAGATACAAGAAGATGAATTAATGAATGATGAGGAAATTCAGAACCAAACTGCTCTGGATAATGATGATGCCCCAAAGGTCTTTATCGGCAAAATTTAGCTTCTGGAAAGGCCAACTCATGGCCCGTTTGAGCAGCAGTTCTTTGGAAAATTCCCAAGCTCTTTCACTGACTCCTCTATTCTTTGGGGCAAATTCTTTGCTCCCTCTATTGGTAAGATCCCTGCTTGCTTTGCGCCCTATGGATGGGCCAACTTTTTTACTGCTATCCTTTTATCCCCAAAGATGTTTGCTCAAGTTAAAGAAATGCTAGGCTCAAAAGCTCTAATTAGCGATAGGTGATAAGCCTTCAGTAGGCTTTGTGCTACCAAGATCTTGCCTAGTTAAGAATTCACCAGTCTACAAATTGACTGAAGTATTGATGGATACTGATGATCTAGAAAGTGCAGTTTAGAAAGAAGATATAGTTTAGAAAGAAGAAGAGATACCTAATTCTAAGTCTATTGATGGCATGCTTGACAGTCATCATAGCTTTTCTAGCAAGGGGGAAGACCAGAAGCAAAACTATGATTCTGGTGGATAGTCAGGTGAGGAGCCTGAGAATCAAGGGGCGCAAGAAGGGTTACAAAGACTCAATGCCAGGATGAGAGCTGCCTGGGTTGCAATGTAACTCCCCCAATGCTCACTACTAGAGCCATCAAAAAGTTTGGCTTTACTCTCTGTGATATGGATCCTAAGTCCATAACTGAAGAAGTGCTATCTAAGAAGAAGACTGCCCTTATGGGGTCCAAGTCTACAAAGAAGCCTCCCCAAGCTGAAGAGGATGATGTTTGTGTTTGTCTGGCTTCTAGAAACAACAATAAATCTTGAAATATTTTATGTTGGAATATTAGAGGGGTTAATGCTGAAAGTAAATGGGAGTCTCTCAGAAATAAAGTGTCTGAAAGTCAATGTGATGTAATATGTCTACAGGAAACTAAAAAGGAGAATTTTGACATCCCCTTCATTAAGCTCCTCTGCCCTCCCTCCTTTGATAGTTTTTGCTTCATCCCCTCCCTTGGAGCCTCTGGTGGCGTTTTAGTTGTCTAGAAAAGTGCAGTTTTCTTGGGGATTAAGATTTTTAGAAATAGTTTTGCTCTGTCAGTGGAATTCATTTCTCAACATAATAATTCTAGCTGGGTTCTAACTAACTTCTATGGCCCTTGTGATCCTGAGGGCAAGAGGAATTTTTTAGAATAGTTTGGTAACATTCAGATGCCAGATGAAGTTTGTTGGCTTGTAGTAGGAGACTTTAACCTAATGAGGAAGCCTGAAGATAGAAATAGACCGAGGGTTAACATCACAGAGATGCTTCTTTTCAATGAAGACATCAGCTCCTTAGGATTAGCCGAAGTTCCTTTACATGGGAGGAAATTTACTTGGATAAACAAACAACAACCCCCTCTACTTGAGAGACTGGACTGGTTCTTCACCTCCAATCCTTGGACTCTTGATTATCCCTATACAGTGGCAAGGTCTCTTGTTATGGAAACTTTAGATCACTGGCCTTGTGTGATTGGAGTAAAAACAAGCATCACAAAGAGCAAGATCTTCAGGTTTGAAAAATATTGGATGGAGCATGAGAGTTTCTTACCTCTAGTGGCAGCCTGTTGAAATGATCAGTTTCCACAAACTGATCCCGCACTCAGAATTTGGCAGTCTAAACTTTCAAATCTAAAGCAGACCATTGCAAACATCAAATTAGTCATCAGTTTTTTTATTGCATTGAAGAATGGAGGGATCTGTCAATGGAAGAATGGAATTTTAGAGAATTAATTAGTGAAAAGCTGTCAGGTCTGCTTCATCAACAAAGGCTCTACTGGAGGCAAAGAGGAACCATAAAATGGGTAAAGCTTTGTGATGAGAACACCAAGTTCTTTCATGCTCATGCATCAATCAGGCATAGGAGAAACCTAATTACCAGCTTGGTAGATAATTGAGGCACTGCAGTGTATGATCATGAGCAGAAGACTAATATGATACGAAATGATTTCAAGGAAAGGCTTGGACCCTCCAGTTTTCAGGAGATGCACTTTGACTTGCCTTCCTTATTAGCCTAGGATACTGATCTGTCCATTCTTGAAGTCCCAATTGCTGAATCTAAGATGGATGAAATTATCAAGGCACTACCCACTGACAAATCCCCAGGACTAGATGGATTTAATAATGAGTTTCTTAAGAGATGCTGGCACATCATAAAGCATGATTTCTATAATTCGGGCATAGGTTTCTTCATGAATGATATATGTTTGAGGAGCATCAATGGGTCTTTCATCACTCTCATCCCTAAGGTGGACAGTCCTTCTAGAGTAGCAGATTTGAGGCCAATATCAATCCTAAACACATCAGTTAAGGCACTCACCAAGATCCTAGCCAATAGACTTCAGCCTCTCATCACTAAACTTGTTCACAAAAATCAGTATGGCTTCATAAAGTCAAGAACAATACAGGACTGTTTAGCATGGACTTTTGAGTATTTGCATATCTGCCACAAGAGAAAGAAGAAAATGGTCATTCTGAAACTTGATTTTGAGAAAGCTTTCAACAAGATTGAGCATAAAGCCATTATTGAGATCATGAGGGCAAACGGATTTGGTCAGAGATGGTTATCCTGGATGAAAACTATTTTCAACTCTGGTACTTCATATGTACTGCTCAATGGAGTGCTAGGGAAGGTTTTTCATTGTAGAAGAGGGGTGAGGCAGGGGGACCCTCTTTCTCCTCTTCTGTTTGTGCTAGCAGCAGACCTTCTCCAATCTACCATCAATAGAGAAAAAGAGTTAGGCCTCCTAAGGTTGCCAATTCCTCTTCAGTGTACCAATGCTTTTCCAATTTTGCAATATGCAGATGACACCCTCATAATCATGGAGGGATGTGCCAGGCAGCTCTTCACCCTCAAAGCCTTGCCCAGTTCCCTCTCTGAATCCATAGGGCTAAAAGTAAATTTTCATAAGTCTATGATGGTTCCAATCAACATCTCTCATGACAAACTAAATCATCTCGCTAAAACTTTTGTCTGTTCAACTGGTTCCTTGCCTTCTACTTACCTTGGGCTTCCATTGGGCTTAACAAAACCAAAACTAGAGGAGTTCATGCCTATTTGTCAACAGATGTGAAAGAAGATTGGTCAATACATCCATCTTTCTTTCGCAAGCTGGAAGATTATAATTGACCAATTCTGTCTTCACTGCCCTCCCAACGTTCTACATGAGTACCTTTTCTATGCATGTCACTATCATAGAACAAATTGACAAATACAGGAAACACTGTCTGTGGAGAAGCTCTGATGATAATAATAGAATCAACGCAAAGGCTGCCTGGCCTTTAGTCACAAGGCCAAAGCCTGAGGGGGGATTAGGGGTTCTGGATTTGAGAACACAGAATGAAGCCTTGCTTATTAAAAACTTGCACAAGTTCTTTAACAACATTGACATTCCCTGAGTGCAGCTGATTTGGGAAAAATATTACAGCAATGGTAAGCTCCCAAACCACATCAGAAAAGGATATTTCTGGTGGAAAGACATTTTCAAGCTACTAGATAAGTTCAAAGGTATGGCCTTGATCTCTATTCAGAGTGGTGCTTCATGTCTTCTATGGGATGATCTTTGGCTTGGGCAAGTACCAAAGCATGCTTTTCCTGAGCTATACTCCTTTGCCAAGAAACCAAATCTGACCTTGGAAGCTGCTAAGTCCAGTCAATCCTTAATACAAGATTTTCACTTGCCTCTGTCAACTGAAGCATACCAGCAGTTCCTTCAGTTAGAAGAGAGTGAATAATTTTCAACCCACTGGGTCCAATGATATTTGGGGAGGACAGAACTTCTTATGTGCAAAAGCTTATAAACATCTCTCAGGCTCAGCTTGGGTTCATCCAGTTTTTAGATGGATTTGGAGGTCTTCCTGTCAACACAAACACAAAGGCCCTGTTCGCTGGAAGGAATTTAGAGGAATCTGGATGAATCGGGAGGAATTTGTGAGAGCGTGAACAGTGAATTTCAGCCATAAACAGTGATTTGCAAAAAACTATTGGAGTATGATTGGACTGACAGTTCCACATTCCCAAGGACCTTTTCAGATTCTGGAGGCTTTTAGAGCCCAGCTTAATGCCCATTTTTTCGTGGAGATAATTATCATTATGTGTTGGAGCATTTGGACAGTGAGAAACAATTGGATCTTCAGAGGCGAGGAAGCAAGTACACAGCAGTGCAAGCACATCTTCAGAAGTATCTTCGGCCTAGTTATACTTCATGCGAAGAAGTACTTTCCCCAAATCAGTTTATGGCTAGAGCAACTTGTGTAATCAAATTTATTTTCTTTGTTTCCTTTTTCGTTTCTTGAACTGCCTAGCTAAGCCCTTTCTTAGAAACTCTAGTCTTTTGTTTGTTATGTTTTTGTTCTGCTCAATAAATTTCAGTAGGGGCGTAAGCCCCTCCTGTTCGCTCAAAAAAAAAACGGTGGCCGAACGAAGAAACCATGAAAAGATGACATGGACAGTCACGATACAATAGATAATATAATTAAATCTAACAAAGGCACAGAAGCTGCTAAAATTTCATAGCCTGCTAGCCTTCCGTCTAAGACTTCTCACATCCGCCAAGAACTGGACAAAAGCTGTATGTGACAAGCCACCGGGCTCCATTGCTGCCGCTGCTTCTTTCGTGCGTGCCGCCATTCGGACCCTGAGCTGCCTCCCCTCCTCAGATTCCATCACCAGCCTTTTTTTTCTTGAATACGCAAAAGATTTGCGTAATCACCAGCCCTACCTTGCCCTCTACGACCTCGGCCTTTACAAAACCCGTTTGGTACCCCTCCATCTCCACCCCAACACCCATATCCTGGGTCATGAATACCTTGTTCATCTTCTGCTCCGCGTACAACTGCCAACACAACATTGGGACTCCAGCCATGACGCCCTCCAACATCGAGTTCCACCCACAGTGGGTCGCGAACGAACCAGTCGCAGGGTGCTGGAGAACCTCTACCTGCGGTGCCCACGATCTGACCACAAGACCTCGGCCCCTTGCCCGCTCCAAGAATCCCTCTGGTAGCACAGCATCGAGGTCCAGCTTAGGTTGTTGCCCCAGGAACCTCTTGGGGTCATAGATACTGCTTGCCGGCCTGCGCACGACCCACAGGAACCGGTGCCCGGACATGTCCAGCCCAGTGGCAATCTCCTTGAGCTGCTCCTGCGAGAATACACCCATGCTCCCAAAGCATAGGAACACAACGCTGCGCTCCGGCTGAGCGTCCAGCCATCTGAGGCACTCATGCCTCTCATCAGCTCGTGCACGAGGATCCCGTGCGCTATTGCCGACTAAAGGCCCGACGCAGTAGATCGGAGGCAGCACCTTGCCCAGGACACACTGGGGATCACTGAGCGCCTGCAACGCCCGGATTTCCAGTGACTGAAAAGTGTTCACCAGAACTCCCCTGGTGTCCATGCCGCGCCGAAAGATGCTCGCCATGGTTTTACAAAGCTCTTCCTCCGGGTGTTCCAGCAGCTCTGCGATCAGGTGAGATGCCGGCATGGGCGGAACGCCGAGGAACTCGAGGGGCCTGTCCCCGAGCTCCTTCAGACCCGTCTGGCTAGTGGCCAGAAGCGCGGGGATCTGGGTTAACACGGCCAGAGCCGAAGCGCTGGACAGGGCAAACGTGTAGACGGGGACACCCAGCCTCGCGGCGACGTCGATGGCATCGGCGCAGAACATGTCGATGACCAGCGAGTGCAAGTGCTGCCGCGGGATGGAGCAGAGGAAGCTCTCGAGCTTCTCGTTGTACCGTCGCAGGGTCTTCAGCATGAAGAGTAACGGTGCTTGCCGGAGCCGGAGCCGGCGACGTCGTCAGGTGGTGGGACGTCCGGCGGGAGGACATGGAAGGTGGTGGGACGTCCGGCGGGAGGACATGGAAAGAGATGGAAGGAGTGGCCGCGGCGACCCGCTTAAACTGGCCGGAGAACGGAGGGACAATCACCATGGTGACGTCGAAGCCGTGGTTGATGAAGACCTTGGCGAGCTCCGCCATCGGGATGACGTGGCCGATTCCGGCGCTGGGGTACAGAATGACGGACTGCTTCATGTCTCTGTTATTGAGGTGGAACTGCCGGCGCGGCGTGCGGTTCGCCATGGCAGCCAGCGCGACTTTTATCTCCGTGGAGCCTTCCCGGAGAAACAGTAGACTTGTTAATTAGTTTTCTTGGTAGTGAAAGCGAGGGAACATCTATGGTGGAATTCGGCATAAGCCCTGTGTTACTGGCTTCCGATCTGCTTGGATTTGCATACTTTCTAGAACAAGATAACACTTGGTCACGACTCACGAGCGTAGGTTTGAACGTTCAACACACAAGTGGAAGCTGGGTGAGCTTTGGGATCAGTCACCATCTTCTAGAAAATTCCATGCTTCTGTATGAAACTCTAACCCGGTCTAAATCTAAATACCAAATAACAAATTAAATTATATATGCGAAAACGAGTGCAATTCAAAATTTCGGTAAAGAGGCGACTCGGGGGTGACGTTGCCGCCACCGCAAAAAAGCCCCGGTGCAGCCTTCTCCTAGGCCACCGCCGCCATCCGGTGGCACTCAAAAAGGTGTCCGGCCATGACCTCTCTCCCCTCCTCCACTCCTTCCTCTCCCTCGTGCCCCTGCTCCATGGCATATTGGCTAGCTCGTATCCGTTGCCCAGGCTGCTGGCGTGCGACGAGCTCCTAGATCCAGCGCCCTGGGGCTTGGATCTGCATCATGGTGGGCCCACCTGGATTTGCAGCTCGGCATGTGCGTGGCCGCAGCTTGGCATGTGCGTGGCCACAGCTCGGCAGTTCATCGGCTGCGCGGGTGGCGGTGGATGCGGCATGTGCATGGCCACGCGACCGCCTCGGTGTGCGGCTCAGAGACGGCCAACCCTGTGGCTGGCACAACGACTGGCCCTGCGGCTGGCACGAGCTGCTGCGTACATGGCCTTAGCCGTGCAGGGTCATGTGCGCCTTTCATGTGTGGCTCTGCAACGGATAGCCCTACGGTTGGCGCGGGCGGTGGCGGATGTGGCCTGAGCTGTGCGGGGCCACGCGAGCCCCTCCCTTCCCTAGCGTGTGGCTGATGGCGGCGGCCCCGCTGTGCGGATCGCCTTCTTCCAGCCGGGCGAGGGGCGGCGTGGACCATCTCAGGCGTCCTCATGCCAGATCTGGGTACGCTTCGCTTCTTGCGTGCCATTGCGGTGCTGTTGTGGGATTCGGTGCGGCGGCCCCTGCTGGGCATGGAGGTGGGTTCACCTAGCTTGGCTGTGATGTTAGTGTCTTGGCGAAAGCTTTGCCTGGGTCGCTGCGAGTGCCGGTGGTGATAGCACCCTCAGAAGTCATGCTTCTCCTTGGAGACATTCCTGAAGAACCTCTTCCTGCCAGTGCTAGACTGCAGATCTATGGCTAATGGTGGCTTAGGCTGTAGGCCTCCTTGCAATGATGGTTCCTGGGTGAAAGCCCTGCTCGGCCTCTGGTTAGTGCCGTCGGCATTGGCTCCCTCGGCGTCATGTTCCTCCATGGAGACGTTGCTTTAGGACCACTGCTCTAGCCTCGCGCCCTGGTCTTTGCCCTTCTGCCGTTCTTCACGGTGATCGTCGTTGTCCGTTCCTTGCCGCATTGTTGGTCCACGTTGGAGCTACCTAGTGGGCATGTGCGTGTGCTTATTGCCTGTCTTCACAACGTTTCGTCCTACAGTATCATCGTTTGGATCGTCATCGCGGATGCTTTGCCGTCGTCGTTGCTTTTTGTGGTGGATACTTGGCTATCATTGGTTTTCTCCCCTAGCGGACACTTGCTGTCAGCATCGCTTTGTTCCCGGTGCATGATTTGTCACCATGGGTTTTGCAGGGCTCCCCTCCGGTGGATACTTTGCTACCGGTGTTTGTGGTTGCCCGTGTCATCTCCTTAGAGGGATGCTTAGCCACCACTGGTTGGCTTCTCTGTAGGCAACTGTTGCGTCGATGTATTTATTTTTACTCAGTTCTAGGCTGTCGCTGGGTGTTGTGGCCGAGGGTCGCCCCTACTTTTTCTTTTTGTTTTTTCTTTTCGTTGCGTCTTGTGGTAATCCTTGGATTACCTGGGCTTGTCTTATACCGGAAATTCTACTTCTTAATGAAATACGTGTCAGGAGGACATGGTCGCAAAAAAAATTAGTATAATTATACCCAGAATAATTCAAACCAGTTTAGGTATGACCATATTGCTGTATTTTCTAGGTAATTTTATTTCTGTGCAACACATAAAATTCATCATAAAAATGGAAGTGTATGAACGGGATGTCAGAGTATATTAGGATTTATGATAGATTAGGACTGTGTAAGCCTGGCTTGCCTTATCCTTAAGGAGTGTAAGGAAAATGGACCCCATGGGCCATTTAGTTTGGATTGTGGCTTTTTATGATCAACATGACTATTTGGACTAATATTGTTTGCTAGTGTTTTTTTGATATAGTTCAAATAGGATGCAAAGTGAACTTGGACTTAGGCAAAGTTGTGATCTGAATGATCAACACCTCAAGCAAAGCATTAGGAGCAGTGTTGAAGACCTACAAGTACATGCAAGAGTCCAAAACACAAGATGAAAGAAGCCTAGACAAAGACACGCGAAGAAATAGAACTGCAGCACCGGATCTGTCCGGTTGCTTGGGATGGAGGGGCGCTGCAATGCCCGGTCGGACGTGTCCGTGTTTATGTGGTAAATCCACCCTTGTTGCCGTTCTACCATTGGTTTGTAGCAATAGAACGCCTACCTTCTCTAGCTGTCGACCTCCTCCATCTAGATCTACGTTGTCGTGGTGGTGGCCGGGCTTGGCCATGAACTATTCCTGCACGCCATGGTGGTCGCTAGGCCAAGTCACACCTCGACCCGCCATGCAGGGGGTCTATTGGTGAGCGGATATGGTCCCACACTCTCACTGCTTTGCACCAAGAGGTCGTCGCCAACCCATGTCGTCTCTGCCCTTGTTGACAGTAAAAATGTCACTTTTACACATCTAAAATACCGTCAACAGACTTTGGAATAAAAAAAGAAGTTGATCATATTTTATCAAATAACAAGTTCTGCAAGTATATAGATACGTCTCTGAGAACTTTGCTAAATGGAGGAAATGGAGCCAGTGGGCCCACACTAGGAGGACAGACACCACCCTAGTGGACTCGCTAACCCCTCAATCCACCCAAGAGCCAAGAAACATACTCTCAAGCACTACCAACCATTGGACACATTTGTTTTTCCTCTAGACGCTCATCAAGACCAAAGAACATGGATTGAAGGGCCCACATAGTAAAGAACCGATGTATTCAGTGGCCCCACAAGGTGCAAACCCACTCAAGATGGTGCCAAGAGAGACCCCACCTGCCAAAGGGGGGGTCAGCTGATCCCCCTAGTAGGTCAAGAGACCCCCTACTTCTTCCATCGCCTCCACCAGCTGCCATGCAAACAAACACATCTTGGGCACATCTCCACCGTGCACTCTATGGTGGTTTTATCTGATGGATGAGTGAAGAGCACACGGATTCATGGGTCCACCTCCGACAACTATAAATAGATGGTCACACACCCCTCTCCATTCATGACTCAATAGAAGATACACAAAAGAAGTAGAGAGCTCCATTGTATCTTAGTCTAGTAGGATAGTCTAGTGTGGGAGTTAGAGTATAGTTGAGCTTTGCTCGGGTTTGCAGATCTAGTTTTCGGGAGAGTCTGGTATAGCTCTTGTATATTTCCTTTTTAAGTAAGATTATACTTTATTCAATATAATATATTTCTCTACTTTACTTAGTCTTACTTTGTGCTGCATTTATCTTTGTGATAGTGTTGTTGTGGTGCAATGCCCTAGAGTTCAAATGACTCAGATCCACTCTGCACGCTGAGTGAACCACAGCTACCACCATCTCACTTGCGCTTTCGTCCTCGCTTCGCGTATAAGGATTAACAAGGGGATTGTGGGATGAATTCTAGAAGCCTTATATATTGGTCTAACCCACCTTTAACAACCAAGGTGGAACTAAACCCTCCACAATATCTTATTAACATGCACATGGCTCACTGTGGGCCAAATTCCAAACTGGGCTAGATGTGACATGTGGTTATCTTAGTCTATACAGTTGTATGCTTGCTAGATTGATGTCCAAGCCTCCGCTTGTACATTGAACACCACCTTAACGGGTGCTCTAGTTGATTTGTGTGTACACATCTAGAGTGGTGAGCTATAATGTAAAACATGGCGTGTTTATACTAAATCTTGCTTGTGGTTGCTACTTGTCACATGGATTGTTCTAGTAACTAGACAACTAGTAGGTGGTGACAACCCTATCTAGCCTTCATAATCCACCACATGTTGTAGGTAAGTTATTAAAAGAGTAGGTCCACCCTGTTAGTCGCTTCGGACAAGGATTTTGTCCTCTTGTTGTCTTGTCTTTCGTCCCGTGTACACGTCATGTGGACTCGGTCTGCTTGATATATCTATATACCCATAAGTTGTTGCATCCCTGTTGAAGTCCAAACCCCAAAACCCTAACCCTAATCGTGATCGCGAGAGAAGAGGAGATGGTCATCGGCGAAAGTGAGGAGGTCACCATAATTTGAGCTATCAAAGTTGCTACCTGGGATTTGGATTTCTTACTTAGGTTCATCCTCCATCCTTGTTGTTCATCCTATTTTATTTCCATACCCTGATTCAGATTTAGGGATGGCAATCGTACCCGCAGGTATTGCACTAGATGGATGTGGAGGTGCGTACAAAATTCTACTAGTGGGTACCCGTACAAAAATTCTACACGTGGGTACACGTGCGAATATGTCGCTTCACTCATTGCTGAAAATACAAAGAATCTTATCTATTATAGTGATAATCTAACTTGCAGGTGCAGGTACCCACGGCTATCGTAGTCGACATGTGTGGGTACGAGTACAAAATCTTACTCGCAGATATGAGTGCAGGTGTGAAATCTTACCTGATAGGCAATTTGTCATGGGTGAGTATTTTCTCTACACACGCTCCTTACCCAACCATATACCATCTCTAACTCCAATAGTGGCTTAATTTCCTTTTAGCGATGCTCTAAATTTAAATCTATATAACGAAGTGGCCTCACCATTTAGCTCTTATACCAAAATTATATATATATATATATATATATATATATATATATATATATATGGAACCTCACAAAAGAGCAGTTCCTTATTCATATGAGATTAAGTCCTCAGTTAGGAGTTTCATGGCGTTGTTTCCAAGACTGCCATGTCATATAGAATGAAATAAAATATGGATGAAACAAACACTCTCAATGTAAAGTTTTATTCTATGGTTTCATAGATATTTAATTTTATGACTTAGAGAGAGTTGGTAATGATGCCAAGAGAGTCGATGAAACTCATTTATTCTACCTTTTCCCTTAAACCTTGTCGTGTCATCAAAAATAATGTCTATGTGATAGCCTATTAATTGCAAATAAACTCACATGAAACTCTTACTAAGACTGGCCTAAGGACAGCCCCACCAAATGGTGTCTGTGAACTATCATTAGCCGCTGCAAATGATATGATCGACCTACTTAACTGCCCAATTGATCATTACAATTCAGAATAATCACAGCAACTGGTAAAAGCATTCCTAACTGGATGCTGAAAGGCAGTAATTTCTTGGTGAAAGCGCACGAGCGTTGAAGTTAGGGTATGCGTTCACACATCTCCTTTGTGATGTGGTTCTCAGTGGATACGGGCATTTGTTTCCACGAAATTTCCGCCCCAGAGAATTTAACTTGAAACTCCTGCTAGAAAGACTGCATTAGATGCATGTATAGTATAAATAAATGCTTAGACTGAGCTCTGTGTGTGCATAAATACAAGCAAGCTAACATTCTTGCGTTCCTAGTAAATCAAGACACATCTCCACACCAGTCACCAGGAATTAGGAAACCATGGCAAGCGCTCCCGTAAACGTCTGCCAGTTTCGACGCACGCAGCAAGCTGAAGGACCTGCCGCCGTGCTGGCCATAGGCACGGCCAACCCGCCGCACTCCGTGCCTCAGGACGAGTTCCCAGACTACTTCTTCCGCGTATCCAAGAGCGAGCATCTCACCGACCTCAAGGTCAAGCTCAAGAGAATATGTAAGCTAGGTTCCCACTCGATCTTAAAAATTACACCAAATTATCAGTAGATGCGCCAAGAAATATATTTTCGTTGTGTGCTTTTCGTGTTATAAATATTGATGTTTTTTAATAAACTCGGTTAAAATTTATAAAGTTTAAATAAAATAACTTTAGAAGTTGATTTATTTAGAAACGAGATGAGAGAGTACGTTCATGCAATGCATAGTTTGACTTGACAGAGTTTGAAAGTTGCATTTAAGAAACAAATTACTTTTCATAACTTGAACGTCCTTTGAAACAAATCGAATGCAGTACTTTTTTATAAAATAAAGTAGCTATACAGAATTTAGTCAAAGATTATTAAAAAATTGGAATATTTGAATGCTTGAGCACTTTTTTATATATAAAAAATGGAGAGAAATGGTCAATGTTGTGAATCTTCAAATTATATGGCACCCTGGTTCTCCTTGCCATATTTGTCTTTTACTTAAAAAAACATAGTTTTTATTCGTTTAATCACTTCCCAGACCTAGCTCAATGACATAAAACACCAGTACCATATCGTAGCATTCTTCAAACAAAAACCATTTTTTCAAGCATCCAAAGTGTGGCTTTATACGTCATAGGCGGCATGTAGGTTTCATAACAAACGATGGCATGTACAAGTTTGTTGCCAAAGAAAAGAACATGTTAGCTCAACTTCAGACCTCTACTTGGGCCGTCAATTATGGGGCTCACGCCAGGGGCTTACTTTTTCTGTGTGCATGAGACATGTGGATTTTAGACCTGATGGAGGCTGGGATGGGTCTGTGTTTTCCACGTGGGTCTCAAGTTCGGGGACCCCAAGCCCATAAATAATGAGAGTTAATCAGCCCACTTCCTTCTGAGCCCATCACCCCACTCCTTCATACTAATCCAACAACACCCAGGAAAAGTGGGGACGGTCCCCATCGAGCAACCGTGGGACCTTCCATAAATTTATGACGCGTGTTCACATGCATGTATCCAATTAACAAGAGAGTTGTAATTTTTCTTTCGAACTATTACTCCTAAATTTAAACAACACCTCACATGTCACCAATCCACGGAAGGTGTCCTCGGTTGCTTCATGGGGACCATCCTCACTAATTTTTCCCACTACGCGTCGCGCCACAGCAACATCGCCGCTGCTTGCCCTATCCTACTCTTTCTGCCTTTCTCTGGTCCACTCACCTTCTCCCATCCGCACGTGAGGTAGAGGTGCAGCCACGCTAAGCAGCTGCCCTCTTCTTCTGCAGCCCTGCTCAATCCTCTCCCGTCTCCACCTTCTCCCATCCGCACGTGAGGTAGAGGCGTGACCATGCTGAGCAGTGGCCCTCTTCTCCTGCAATCCTACTCACCCCTCACACATCTCCTGTAAGTCGTTCCCCATTCTCCCGGCTCCTCATGGATCTCGTCTTGCAATCGTCCCAATACCGCGGCGAGGAAGCACATGTGTGTTAGTCACTCAGACGGTGCCTATGCCATGGCTGCTCATCAAGCAAGCTACAGGTGATAGGCCACGCATTGTGATGGTTTTCAGTTTGATTTGTGCTCTATTGTGAAGAATTTGTCTATGTTGGTTCAACTATGCTCGGGTTTCAGAAAACCGATGTGTTTCGGAGACCCATCAGGTTCGAGGACGGGGCACATTTTCACACGAAAGGGAGTTCGGGGCCAGGGCGGCGGGTTTGAGGGTCAGGTGTTTCAGATGTGGGTACACGGACGCTCCACCTAGCCGACCGCCCTATTGCCATCCCTACGCACCCACGTGGACTCCACCTGCAACTCCATCCCATACGCGGCCAATTTTGATTGCCGGATTAAGGAGCTATGGCCACGCATTGTGATGGTTTTCAGTTTGATTTGTGTTCTATTGTGAAGAATTTGTCTATGTTGATTCAACTATGCTCGGGTTTCAGAAAACTTATGGGTTTTGAAGACCCATCAGGTTCGGGGACGGGGGCAAATTTTCACACGAAAGGAGTTCAGGGCTAGGGCGAGTTTCAGTGTCGGGTGTTTTAGGTGTGGGTACGCGGACGCTCCACCTGGCCCAACCGCCCTATTGCCATCCATATGCACCCACGTGGACTTCACCTACACCTCCGTCCCACTGTCTCCAATTTTGATTCTGGATGTTGGTCGTGTGATCTACTAGTTGGAATCAGATCCCCATCCTTCCATGTGCCCTTCCCCTCCATTGCTCGCTGGATTAAGGAGCTCTGGCCATCTTCCCTACTCCCACCCACCCGGCATCATCTACCCCTTCCAGCTGTCCCCGGAACACAACCTCCCCAGCTGCCTTCCTTGTGAGCGCGCCCTCCCCTGTCGTGGTTTCCTCTAGCGCACCCTCTATGCTCAGTTGTCCTCCCTACCGGTACAACCTTGAGCAAGTGCTACCAAAACTCCAACCTGATCACAAGGCGCCCTTCACTGCAGCCACCTCAACCTCGACCTCATCCTCTCCAAAAGCTCGCCTCCCCTCCCGACTGGTTGCCCTTCCCAATCAGCGATGGAGGGAGCAATAGTGTGGCTCATGGTTGGGGAATGAAAGATGAGAGAAAAAACAAAAAAAATATATGTGACTAATAAATGGGTCCCACGAAAGTAGAGTCTAGAATTTGAAGACTATTTCTAAAGTTAAGATTAAAAATAGGGCACGCAAAAGTAGAATAAATCCTAGAATCAAAAGTAGGGGCATGATTTGGGAGCTCTTCGGTTGTTCTAAAAGTACTCCAACTGTATGGTTCAATATGTTCCACATTTGTCAATAGTTGACAGATTTTCTACCAAGCCGTTTGGTTATTTGCCGCCGTTTGGCGCTTTGGGCACCGTCACACATTTTCAAACTTAGACCCCATGTGTCACGCCCACGCACAAACAAAATCTTGCAAAAAGTGTATCTAAGCTGTCGTGAGAAATTTGTTCTTCACACCTCAGCAAAAATTTCACCAAGTAGTTTGGCTTGATCTTTGGAAGCACAGGAACGCGGTGGTGTTCCGAGGTGAGCAGCCTAGTCTCACGACTACTATCAAACTGCAGAGCAAGCTGAAGACTGGAGCTGCAGGATTCCGACAAAGATCAAGCCATTTGTAACGGTGTGGACACATATGTTTCAAATGTAAACTCCTCCCCCTCTCCCACTCGGTTGTAACTAAACTCGAGGACTTATGTCCTGCAGGGCCACTGCCCTCCACCGCCAGTTTTTCTGGCATGAGTGGTCAATCAGCCTGTTTGTTTGTTTTGTTGGTTTCAGCCAAGACTTATCAGTTAGCCAATATTATTTTTCTCTTACAACAAACCAGCACCAGCTGGGTTTATCAGCCCAGAAATCAACCAGCGAACAGGCCGAATATATCATGTGGGGACCCCTTCGTCCCTCCCGTCGCTCCTCAAAAAAAAAAGGTGCCAATTAGCCTCAATTTGCATTAAGTCATTCTTAGTAGAAATTTTATAACGTTTCTGTGGCCTACCAAGTAGAATTATAAATAAAGTGTGACATGGCTATCCTTTGATCTGACCCTGCCGCATGGTTCCAAACTGCAGGTGAGAAATCAGGTATAAAGAAACGCTTCTTCCACATCAACGAGGAAATACTCGGCGCCCATCCAGATTTCAACGACCGAGAAAAGCCGTCGCTGGAAGCCCGAATCGAGATGACGGCAACGGAAGTCCCCAAGCTCGCCGCGTGCGCCGCTGCCAATGCCATAACGGAGTGGGGCCGCCCAGCCACGGACATCACGCACATCGTCTTCAGCACCTACTCCGGCGCGCGAACCCCGAGCGCGGACCTCCGCCTGGCGTCGCTGCTGGGCCTGCGGCCCTCCGTGTGCCGCACCACGCTGAGTCTCCACGGCTGCTCCGGGGGTGTCCGGGCGCTCCACCTGGCCAAGGACATCGCCGAGAACAACCACGGCGCACGCGCGTCCTCGCGTCGGCTCGAGATCCCTCATCTCGTACTGCGGCCCCACGGACGGGTGCGTGGACTCCGTCCTCGGCCCGGGACTATTCGGCGACGGCGCCGGCGCCGCCATCCTGGGCGCTGGCCCCGTCGCCGGCACGGAGCAGCCGCTGTTCGAGACCGTGTGCGCCACGCAGGCTACGATTCCGATGACCGAGGACGCGATCACCACGCAGTTCGCGCGGGGCGGCATGGATTACCACATTGGCAAGCAGGTTCCGACGATCGTGGAGCAGACCATCAAACAGTGCTTGCTCGACGTTACTGGGACGCTTGGCATCGACGTGGTGACGTGGAATGACCTCTTCTGGGCGGTGCACCCTGGCGGCCGTGCCATCTTGGACAGCGTTGAGGCAGCTCTCAGACTGGAAACTGAGAAGTTAGCAGCCAGTCGCCATGTGCTTAGCGAGTACGGTAATATGAGTTCTGCGACCGTCGTCTTTGTGCTCAAGGAGCTTCACCACCGACTGACCGCCAAGGACGACGGTGATGAGGAGACTGCCGAGTGGGGGGTCATGATAGCATTCGGACCGGGGATCACAGTTGAGATAATGATCCTGCGTGCCACCACCAACCTCAAGGAAAACTATGTTTAATGCATGTATTAATTTATTTATCTAGCACACTTGCACCGCTATATAAAATACTGATATATTAATATATTAGCAGTATGGAGCGTGTTAGGGTGTGTTTGTTGTCGGACACATCGTATATCCTGAGTGGACGTGGATGGAGGCGGCTGCGTGGAATCGTATTTCAAAAAGAGTGTTTTGTGGGATTGAATGAGCAGTTACAAGAAAATTGATATGTTATTTGGTTGCCAGTATAAGCGGATACAACTTGACTATCATATACTCCCTCCATCCCTGAATGTCCGTCATTTTTACTCCCGAGAAATAACTTTGACTAAATATATATTAAAAATATTAATATTTATGATACATAATTAGTATCATTGGATAGATATTTGAATCTAGTTTTTTAATAAATTTATTTGGAGATAGAAATGTTGCATACATTTTCTATAAATCGAGTCAAAGTTATCGACACGCAAATCGTGGCGACAAACATTTAGGGACAGAGGGAGTATGACTAACACCTGGGCCTCTCTAGATCGATCATCTACATCAGCCATATTTCTGTATGGGCGGATACAACACGGAACAGTTGAACCAAACATTCTTCTCCTATAGTTTACACGATTGTCGGTGTGTAGGCTAGTCGGATGCATGTATCCAAACATGCCCTTAATGCTGATGGATTTCACTCTAGGGGAGTGAGCGACCACAAACCATTCTTCTTCCTCAACCCTCTTCGCAGCTTCCTCGGCCCTACACTCCCACCCCCCACCTTCCTCGCCCACCACCTCGGCCAGTGGTGCTCCCATTGTCGGCCGCCCCACCCACCCCCTGACACACCGTTCTGTCCTCCATTAATCTCAATCGAAGGAGGATATGACACATGACCTTCGCCCCATCGTGAGCTCTTCCAAACCGCTTGTCTCCTACCGCTCGCTCAGTGGTGCCACCGCCACCTCGCTTGCCGTCCTCAACCCACCACCTCCACTAGGCTAACCGCTGCCAGCGGGCCCCTCCCTCTTCTAAGGCTACTGGCCATGGAGCTCCATAAAACCTAAAACCCTAATGCTAGTGAGCTCGTCTCCAACAACGGTGGTAGAGGAAGGCAGGCAATGCGCTCATGGGCCGTGGGGTGCGCGGGGCTCATGGATCGTGGGAGGAGAGCTCCGCATGCAGCATGACCCGTCGCTTCATAGATTTTCCGTACCCCTCGGTAGACTGTCGATCAGATTTCATCGATAGTGGTGCGCCAAGTAGGGGTGTGCGTGCTGAACTCATGGCCAACCAGATGGTTACCTTTTCGAGCTCCATGGCCCTTCCCGAGCCAGGCCAGATCTTCATGATCGGATCCATGACTTGGGTCATCGGCCCTGATGGAAACGGGAGGATCATGGAGGCGCGTAGGATCACCCAGCACCCACTGTGCCGACACCTGCAACGACATCTCCTATCCCGGTGCCCCACCGCTGGGTTAGGAGATCTATCAGCAGTGGTTGAGAAGGTCCGAGCACATATCATAGCTGCGCAAGTCTAAGTCAACGAGTTCCGAAACGACACCCCATCTTACTCCACTGCGTTAGCTCGTAGCCACCGCTCTCGCCGTGATGGAGGAGGCCAGCAACATGGTGTCGATGGCCCCCGACTTGTGGCCGAAGGTCCCTACCTCTATAGGGGATCCATAGGCAACTATGAAGCTCATTCACGATATGATGACCGCCCACCACGCCACCAGGGAGGTCGGGGTGGCAACCGTAATCAGGAGGTCAATCAACCCCTCTCCCGCGACCTTCGCAACCACATCAACGCCGGCGTAGATATCCACGGCCGCATCGAATATAGCAGGTCTGCACGCTATGAAGCAGAGATGGAATGTCGCTGGCAATTCAACGCCGAACATGAGGGATTTGCTACCCGTCAATTACCACTTCCTGCCGGCGCATCAGGACTTCACCCCTTCACCGAAAGGCTCCGAGCCATCCGGTGGCCTGCTGGTTTCAAGGTCATTGGTGTTAACACCTATGACGGAAAGGCCAGCCCTGCTCAGTGGCTAACTCTATATGAGATTGCTGTGAAAGCTACGGACAAAGACGAAGACGTCATGGCGAATAATCTTCCTGTCATGCTTAATCAGTCTGCAAAACAACAGGCTTCTCAGCCTACGGAAGAACTCCATCCGATCTTAGGACAACCTCAAGAAAGTCTTCACTGACAATTACATGGCCACGTGCGAGCAGCCCAGCACAAAGTACGACCTGGAGAAGCTTCATCAGTCCTCTGAGGAGTCCCTACACGACTTCATCAGGCACTTCTCGGAGACAAGAAACTCTGTTACCAACATCACCGATGCCGAGGCCATCGCCGCCTTCACCAAAGGGCTCTGGCACGAGCAGCTCTATGGAAAGTCGTACCGCAAGAGGCCTACAACCATTGGCGAACTAATATAAACAACAAACGGGTACGTCAACACCGAAGAAGCTGAACGGGCTGCCCGCTCCACCCACCACCAGCGCTGCAACGATGACCGACGTGAAGACAGGCACTATGACGACCGTGACCACCATCGTGACGATCATGACCGCCGCGATGACCGCGACCACTGCCAAGACGATCGTGATCTTCGACATGATGATCGCCCAGAGAGCTCGAGGGGCAGACAAGACCACCGTCGCCGGCCTGATAACTCGATCAACACCGCCAATACTCGAGCCAAGCGCACCTACGACGCTGACTTCGACAAGCTACTGGACGGCCCATGCCCTATCCACATGGATGCCAAGCACACTATGTGAAAGTGTAGAGGCCTGAAGATAGCGCTCGGTGGCAAATCCTCGAAGAAGCCACGATGTGATGATGATGAGACCAAAGACGGTCAGGGTGAAGAACGAGGCAAGAACAAGGGCCCAACCTACTAGGACCCCACCAAGACCGTTGCCGCCATCTTTGGTGGGAGAGCTGTTTCCGAAGACAAGCGGGAGTAGAAGCTTGTAGCCTAACGCGTCATGTCGGTCGCTACATATGACGGCCATGTCGCTGATCCCAAGTACCTCGATTGGTTAAAGAACCCGAGCACCTTCTCTAGGGCTGATCAGTGGTCGAACATCCCATATCTAGGGCGTTTCCACTTGTCCTAGATCCCATAATCAAGGACGTGCGCTTCCAGAAGGTCCTCACCGATGGAGGGAGTGCCATCAACATCCTCTTCGTCGGATCTATGGAAGAGCTAGGGCTCAAGAAGGAAGACCTCACTCCCATGGATGCGCTGTTCAAGGGAATCATTCCCAAGAAGGCATCCCTACCCCTGGGACATATTACACTGCCGGTTTAGTTCGGCACCGCCAAGCATTTTTGCGTCAATTATGTCAACTTCCTTGTCGCTAATTTCAACACGGCATGCCATGCATCCTTGGCCGACCAGCTCTTGCCAAGTTCATGGCCATGCCACACTATACGTACCTGGTGCTAAAAATGATGACGAAGGCGGGGGGGTCCTCTCCTTGCGCGCCAACCTTGATGTCACCTACAACTGTGAGAAGGAAAGCATCATGCTCGCTGAGGCAACTGACATCTCCATCCACATGTAGGACTACATCGCGACTTCATAGCTGATCTCTCCGAAGGACCTAGAGATCCCAACCACGGAGGCCACCCGAGCATTGACCAAGTCCAAGAAGGTGAAGGAAGTGGACATCGTCCTCGGCGACCAGTCCAAGACTGCTCGGATCGAGGCAGCCTCGAACCTAAATAGGAAGACGCGCTCATCAGCTTCCTAAGGGAGCATGTCGACGTGTTCACGTGGAAACCTACAGACATGCCCGACGTGCCTCGGGAGCTAATCAATCACTCCTTAAATGTCTCAGCGACCGCCAAGCTGATCAAATAGAAGCTTCAATGATTCACGTAGGACAAAAAGGAGGCCATTAGGGTAGAGATAACCCGGCTCTTAGCCACCAGTTTTATTAAAGAGGTCTATCTTCCCTAAAGACCCCTTTGGCCTACCTCGCATTGACGAGGTCATAGACTCCATGGCCGGCTGTGAGCTTCTGTGCTTTTTAGATTGCTACTCTGGTTACCACCAGATCGCATTAAAAGAAGAAGACTAGATCAAGATATCGTTCATCACGCCCTTCGGCGCCTACTGCTATACGACGATATCCTTCGGGCTCAAGAACACGGGTGCGCCCTATCAAAGAGCCATCGAGTGCAACCTCAAGGACTAGATCAAGAAGAACATCGAGGCTTATGTCGATGATGTGGTGGTCAAGTCTAGGACTGCTGACACCCTCATCGTCGACCTCACCAAAGTTTTGAAAGCCCTGAAAGTATACCGATGGAAGCTGAATCCCACTAGTGCATTTTCAACGTTCCATCCGGTTTCCTACTAGGCAACATCGTCAGTCGCCGTGTCATTGAAGCCAACCTAGAGAAGATAGCGGCGGTTATCAACATGAAGCCATCGACCTACGTTAAGGACGTCTAGAAGCTGATGGGGTGCATGGTGGCTTTAAGTCATTTCATATCTCGTCTAGGCGAAAAGGAACTCCCCTTCTTCAAGCTACTCAAAGCTCAAGAGAAATTTGTCTGGTCGGAGGACGTTGACAAGGCATTCGCCGAGCTCAAGCGGTTCCTCACCACACCTCCGATCATGATCACCCCAAAAAGGATGAAACCTTGCTAATCTACATTGCAGCGACCAACCAGGTAGTCATCACCGCCATCATTGTTGAACGAGAAGAGGCCAGACACGCATACAAAGTCTAGCGCCCAGTCTACTTCATCAATGAAGTCCTAGACAAGTCCAAGACTCGCTACCCATAGGTCCAAAACTGTTGTATGCCATCCTGATTACATCCTAAAAGCTCCGCCACTACTTTGATGCCAATCACATAGCAGTAGTCATTGAGTACCCGCTCAGAGACATCCTCTGCAACAAGAAAGCCAGCAGCCGCATTATTAAATGGGCTGTCGAGCTCGACACCTATACCATCGACTTTAGGCCTCGCCACACGATCAAGTCATAG